CACTCAAGGTTATGAACCTGATAGTCCTGTTCCCCAAGTTGTTTGGGTCGTTGTTAATTTTCTCGCGACGAGGACTTCCTCAGGCCTCCCGCGTCCGAAGCAGAAGATGCGCCAGCCGGCGAAGCCTCTGCGGCAGACAGGAACGTCAGACGTCGTGTCTTCCTAGCTCACACTGGGAAGCCAGGGCACCAGGCCATTCTTCGAGGGGAGCGGCTCAAGTTGCAAGGCACAGCACTAACCATGACCTCGAAGATTCGCCTTCCCCAAAGGTCGCACTGGAAATCAAGATGAGATTGCAGACACTCCTCCTGACTTCCTGACGGACGCTGAAGTCCTGACCCCGTCTGCTGACCAAGAGACAAGAGGGCGGACAGGACCCAACCTCCCGGGAAGATCCTGAGCAACCCCCAACGGGGATAGCATGTGTTGTGAGTTTTCCTTTGAAGTCTTTCCAGACGATGGCACGGGTGATGCACAGTGTCTCTGGATCCTCTTGGAGCCGCTGTTGCCGCTAAGCCCGGGCAACGTCGCAGGGCTGAAGTTAACTTTCGTAAGATAAGTGCGTTAAACCGCACGAAATTCGAAAGGGCTACACGTAAGGAGTGGCAAAGTTGGTTGGAAAACAAAACCACTACCATAGCCAACGCGAAAGGTGTCCCTAAAGATCCCACCCAAGGCCAAGCTGGTATTTGTAGGGTTTCAAGATCCCGATTTAGGACTTATTGCCACCGATAGCCCCACCCTTCGGAAACAGCTGGACCATATGGGGAGCCGACATCAAGACAGCCTTCCTCTCCAGATGGCAGAGACCTCTTTTTCAGGCCTCCGACGGAGATCAAGGAATATATGACGCTTGATGATGATGATGATGATGATGACGATGATGATGATGATGATGATGACGATATCTGGAGACTTGAGAAAGCAGCGTATGGGTTGGATGAAGCACCTGGGGCATGCTTCATTCGGTTGACACGTGAGCTCATAGCAGTTTCCCTGATTGTAAGCCAGCTAGATCCGCGCGTGTTCTGCCTTCGTTGCCAGAAGTCCTCTGGACTTTTGGGGATCTGCGGGGTTCACGTTGATGATCTCCTTGGGGGCGGCGCAACTGCCACGGAGACATGTCTTGCACGCCTCCGTAAACGCCTGCTCCTTGGCAAGTTCAGACTCAAGACCATAAATTACACTGGCGCGGAAATCCGACAGCGGGAGGATGGAAGCATAGAAGTAAGCCAAATAGACTACATTGGCAAGCTTGGAGAGGTGTGCACTAACAATACAGGGAATGCATCTGGCCTCGCGTCCAACCCGACTCTGATGAGGGCCTGCTGTGGCCAGTTAGCGTGTGTGGCCAACCATAGTCGCCCAGATCAGGCCATCCTTGCTTCTCATCATCATTCGGGGTATCCAGGATCCTACCAGGGTCTGCCATTTGCAACTCTTCAACAAGACTGCGTGTGAGATGAAACATTGGAAAATTGGTGGAATCCCAGGGTGGTCTTTTGCTGTGCCTGTGTGAGCAGAAAGTCCTTGAGCAAGAGCCTGGTCAAACTGTCAAACATGGGTCATTGTATGGTCCTCCAAGAAACTCCGTAGGTGGTTCGCAGCTCTGTTGCTGCTGAGACCATGTCCGCACAAAATAGACTGGACGGCATTGAGTTTGCACAGGCTTTCTTGCAGGACACCCCCACCGGAACGCAGTCCAAGATGCTTCAACAGAGCGAACCCGAACATCCTACCGGCCTTGCCTTTAACGCAAGGCGCCGTACGACGCTCTCACGGGATCCGCTAGCAGCAGCGCGCTGGCCATGGAGAAGTGTCTAGCCATTGACTATGCCATTGTTCGTTTCTGGCCAATAACCTTCAGATGGCCTCAGATTGCCTGACAAAGCTCAAACGTTCGAAGGACATCCTCTTCAAACTCATGGAGAGATGTCACTACCACATCCCCGCCCGAGCAAGAAATCAATTCGTAAGGAGAATGCCCGGGAGAAAGGCCCTGGAGCCTTGCAGTAAAGCTCCTGTGCTACCATGTGCCCAACTTGTGTAAGGATTCCCCAAAATGGGGCTTTGCTCAAGCTGTTAACCTCTACGGATGTAGGCCAGAGCCTGAAGACCGTCAGAAAAAAACGGCGTGGGCATTCCTTGACTCTGCCTACCACGCAAATCACCTACTTAATGTTTAAATGCTTTCTCCAAAAAAATGGGACCCCTTTTCAACACTGTTTTGGCAAAGGCACGTGTGCAGATCGCCTCTGAGTTTTGACTTGCATGTGCGCTGACATAGCCTTCAAGCCTTTCCTGTGCGAACCCGTGTTGTGCAATCTGCAACCGCATCTTGCCCCTCTCGTGCTCACATGGCGGCACGTCCTTGAGCCTCTCGCCTCTGACAAGATCGAGAAATTCGTTGGCCGTGCTGTGGCAAACAACCAGCTTGGGGCGATCGCTTGGGAGATCCAGTGGCAGAGGTCCCGGCACTTTGTCGTGGTCGGTAATTCGCAATGCGACTACCCTGGTGGCCCTCCGCCGCCTACTGCGGCTGGTGCTTCGCCGGCACCAGGCGCCGATGACATCCGTGCTGCGGTGCCCCGAAGACCTGGGAAAAGAAGGAGTTCTTGATTCCAACTGTCGTCCAATCACCCCTTCCGACTAGCATTCGCACCATCAAGAGTGGGCTCTTACCTTGCTTACTCTTCCGAAGCTCGAGGATCAGAAGTGGAGCTATGGACGGCTGGTGAAAGTTGCTTGGGTGATGCCCAGGTCTTGTCGTAAGTGGATCAAAAACTCCTACGCCGACACTCCACCCAAAGTCACGATTCCCTGACCAGCCGCCACGTGTTTGCCAGCGAGAGTGGTTTTCTTTCCAAGCCCCGCTTGTATAGCCTGTTCAGATGAGGTGCGTTCGAATTTCCAGTTGAGACAAATCTTGGCGCTCCGCTGATTTTTCATCTGTATAGCAACCCTCATCGCCGCTGGCATAGTGTCAGACTGAGGGCGTGTAAAAGCTGATCTGTGTTCCAAGAAGATGTGCAGACCAGTTGACCCTTCATTTCGGGATGTGAGTCTTCGCTGCCATAACGGCTCATGAGGGGCCCTTGGTATCCTTGCAGGATCGATAGCTGCGGTTCGTGCGACAGATATCGAGCATTGCTGTGTGAAGCTGTTTGCTTTGAGTGAGTACCTGACGACACTATTTTCACATAGAGTTTGCAACCCGCACTAACTGTTCTGGTGTTTCTGGCTGCAATCTTCCTCTCACAAGGACTGCAGGCGAGCATGGGGGCAATCCAAACCTTTTGATGTCCTTGACATAAGACGAGACTCCGTTGACACAGCCTGACTCTGTGGTTATCCACCAGCCTCCGCAGACGAAACCTTCTGGGAAGCAGTGTCGGTATAGCCAAGCATTGAGTAGGCTTCGTCCTGCCAAAATATGCTAGGCTGCTAGGGCATCCGAAATTACATCTGTTGAACACAGGCCCCTCTAAGATGTTGCCTCCTTCTGCTGTCGTGTCGCAGTCACGTCTCGGAGGAGGATCAGGCAGTCGGTCCGCGTTGAACTGTGACAGGCAAGAGCACCAAAAAAGGAGGGACACACTCTGGCAAAGACGGCAAGCAAGAACAGACTGCTGCCAGTAGACAGGCATCACGCAAGAAACATCCAGAAACACTTGCGCGCACCAGTTGACGGAGTCTCCATCAGAAATCTTGGCAACCTCGGCCAGCAAGTGATCCTAGGACGCCCTAGGATCTGCAGCCGCTGGCTGGCCCGGACTTGAGTGTGTCCCTGGCCTGGACATTGGGCTCTGCCAGGGAAAGGCAACACAGTGTCCTGAACAGGAGCAGGGATCTAAGAAGCTGGCTCCGCAAAGATAGCTTTCAAGAGCAGCGCATTCCGCCGAACTTCACATGAAGACTTCTAGCTTAAGAAAGCTTGCTCTTGAAACACACAGAGGCTCATAGCCATGCTTTATTCTGCAACGCGCAGGAGGATATCTGGACCAGCTGGGGCAAATTGAACTTCCCAGCCAAGACTCAGCCCAATGATACGAAGGGGCAGAAGGCCGCCTGGGGGAGCTGAAGCTTCACGAAAGTGCTACCCTCATAGCCTCATAGCTGCAAGAGAAGGCTCTGGCACATACTGAGATCCCCGCCTATGATCGAAGGGGACGCGTTGCCAACATGCAGCATGGCTTGCTGCTGATACAGTGCTTGAATATCCAGGAACTCGCAGCCTGCACTAGTAAGAATCTCATTTAGGTAGAGGCACAACCGTGACAGAGGGATGCAAAGTCATTATGAACATTTCTGGGCTTGCGCAAAGAACAAATCTTTTGCATGCTTGCAGCTCGAGAAAATTCAACGAACGGGACAGGACCATCTAGAAGGATACTTGCCGAATGCAAGCAAGTTACCATCAAGTCGCCACTTTTCACTGCAGCGTTCACATCAAGAAAACAAGCTTGTGAAACTGCTGTGTACCTGCGGTCTCCTGGTAAGTCCCGGATGCGACTACCGAAGACTGAGCTATATGAAGCAAAGCGATAATATGAATTCCTCGGTCCCAAAGCTGATGCCGACAGTCACTGCAGTGGTTGCAGTCGACGCGTTCTGAGCCTCGACTCAAAGTGAAGACCACTCAAATCAATCTTACTCGTAAAAAAACACATAAAAACATGCCTTCCAAATCAACACTGCATCGAGCTCCACCCCTGAATCAGCTGGCTACGAGCGCGTACTTTCCCTGATGCAAAGGGCTTTGGTGTTTATTTACGACCTGTCGAAATTCCATCATGACATACACTAGCAATCCCAATTCAAACTCATCGCCGTAATCCTTGGCTTGCATCCCTGAATCTTCGTATTTGACCGGCTTCTTGTCCAGCCTCACGCCAAATAAACATACTCGGGATCTGGGTCGCGCCTTATTATCAGACAGTTGCCATTTGCATTTGCTGGCAAGCTGCACGCACGGGCATGGGGACTGAGAGCGCTTGGCGCTACCACAGCCAGCGAAAGGCTGAACCCAACACCTTTGCTAGAGGTCAAGATAGAAAAGATTCGCCTGCAAACTTTCGCCTGCAGATTTGCCCAGCCAAGATGCCAGCACCAGCGCTGCTGAAGTCATTCGTGGCACACCAGATTTTGCATCCTGCAGGGGAAGCTGGTTGCTAGCTTGTCTGGCGCTGTCTAGCAACCCCTATTCCTCAAGCAGTTGTGAAGATCCGTGGCGTACGCATGACATACTCAAAGCGGATCGCGAGCGCGTTACTTCAAACCATGCCAATTCACTCCTGCCGCTGTCCCACAAACCAGATGGCATCAAGGTATGGGGCATAAACCGATGTCATACCCCGTCAGCTAAACAAAGAAGCAAAACGAAAAGGCAGAACACCAGGAAGCAGCATTACTTGCAGGGTCGCTTGTTTGGGTTCAAGTCCTGACTAAGGCATCATGCAAGTGTAGTTCAACCTGCCAATAAGATATCAAATGATTCTGAAAGAAGGATTCTGCCTTGCAGTTCTCGCCCTTGCCGCATAGCGCTGAAGCAAGCTCACCTTGTCTATCGCTGAGCCGCTTCTATCTCGCTCATCGTCTGCTTGTTTAACACCACCTTTCAACAGAAGGCTTCAAGAACTGAACCAAGGTGCGGTTCAGCACCGTGACGTGGACCTTCGGCCATCATGTACAGAAACTGCACACACTCAAAAACAGTCTTCGAACTTCGGACAAAACACCTCCAAGAGTGTCGGCCATTCTTTTGAGTTCGCCGTCGCCAATGCCTGGAAGGTTACAAAGGCACGAAGAGGGTCCGCTAGGTAGGTATGCTGGGAGTGGTTCCCAGGCTTCACGACTCACTTCACAACTCGCAGCCTGGCGCAGGCGCAGCTCAGCAGCGCCGGTGTCACGACGAAGCTGCCGCAGCTGGAGCCTTGGTTGAAACGGGTTTCACTCGTTTCACTCCTCTGCTCAAGGCTCAGTAGCAGGAGCTGCGCTTCCAGAGAAGCTGGGAGGTCCTGGAGAACAGAAGCTGCATTTCGCTCCACGCTCCCATCTCATGTATCAACACTGCACAAGTAGGCAAGCAGACAATCACACTGCAACTATGTGGAAAGCCAACAGCCTGCCACACTTGCACTACAAATGACGAAACGCGCAGAGCACGCATCTCATACATCACTGGTTACCAGCATCCAGCACTTGAAGCCACGAGTGAAAAACGGCAAGCTGCAACCTGCTGATCACTTCTGAATGCTGCTGGCCTCATTGCGGTACAGCGCAGTCATGCCCCGAACGAACTCCAGCTGCAGGCTCATTTCCTTACAGCTCCTACTTGTGTACGCATGTTGTCGCATCAAGCAAAAGACTGCCATAATAATAACATTCTCGGCAATTTTCTAATTCAAGCTGAAGAAGTATCATTTCAGCTTTTTCGACGAATCACGAAATATGTCCTTCTAGTACTTCTGGATTAGCTATGACGTCTATGTAGCGTTTACTTCTTTCGTCTTCATCAGACCTTACTAATTGATTGCCTTGATTAAGGGCTGATTTTTCTCATTAAAGCAATAGTTTCTTCTGTTTCTCGTAGCCAGCTCGGTCATCTGAAATATATTTACCTTTAGTAGCAGGAGTTGAGCTGTTTGTAGTGTTCACATCCAGGTCGCTGCAGTCAGCGCGGCCGAGGATTGCGGGTGGTTCAAGTCCAGGTGAAAGCCTCCCAGGATGCCATCGCTCAGCCTGCCAGGAGTTTAAAACTTTAAGAAACTACACATGCTGTTTGAATTTCGAGGCACCCCTCCTAGTGAGAAACTCCTGGACCGTCAAGACTGCAACTTCATCTGACCTGTTCTGCTTGAGCAGCAGCTCCTGAAAGAACAGAAACTGCTTAGCTTTCAGGTGCTGGACAACTTCAAGCTCCTGCTTCCTGACCTGTAGGAGGCGCTTGGACGAGAGGAGAAGATCCAGCAGCTCTTTGATCAGCTTCCTAAGACACATGAGGAGCAGAGCTTTGCTGCATTCCATCATCTTTTTCATCCAGGTGGCTCCGAGAGCCTTACAAGATCCAGGCTTCTCAGCGAGTCCTCCTCGCAAGCAAACTTCGCAAACTTCACTCCCCCAGCCTCCTTTTCAGGTCACAGCAAGAGTTTCTAAGCTTTGAACCTGGCCTGACCGGTCACTGCAAATGGCAATGCCTCTCAGGACTCAGCCACGTAATAGCAATAGCATGAACTCAAATGTAGACTTGGTTGCGTGACTTCACACTTTCGACCCGATTTCACTTGTGACACATGGCCTCTGCTGGCGGCAGCAATCCTGCGGCATCTGGCCGCATTATCTTCAGCAAAGCCTGTGCTGCGAAAAAGGACAGAAGATTGAAACAGCTCTGCGAATTCGCTGGGTGGGGCATTAATGACGTCAAAACTCACTGCAGCAAGGGTTGTTCAGATTGCGCGCCTGTGAGTGTTTCGCTTCAGAAGGGGCGAGGCACAAACCCTGTCCCTGTAACCGCAAACCCACGTGCTTTCTGGGCAAAGTAAGCTGCGCTCTCTGAGACGAAGTCTTCTTCAGACTTTGATTCACAATGCATGCTGTCTGGCTGTTGAGGTAACAACCAAATGAAGGCTACTTACCAACAGCCCACGATGCTGAACTTTGGAGTTGCCAGGCCCACACCTACTCCAAGCTCCGGCCTCCAGCGCTCGACGCTGCATCTGAAGAGGCACAGGCTGGCGGGCCTTGTCATCAAGGCTGCTGCGGGGGGGGGGACATGGAGCTGCCAACTCAAGAGCTGCTGACGCAACTCTTTGAGAAAGAAAGCATGTTTACAGTGGGACTGCCGAGCAAGAAGGCTACGCAGACAGCCTTCGACGCATTCCACACGGCACCACGATGGGCATAGCTGTTGCGAATGCCACCAACCCAGCCTACAAGGCCTGAGTTCAAACCCACTTACAAACATAGCATGTCAACTCAAGCGTGCGGAGCGGCAAAGACCGACGGCCCCAAAAAACACAAGTCAAGTGTGATATCTGCAGCCAAGCATCTGCGACCGGCAAATGATGCCTCCCTGCAGTGTTTGAACAATAGCTGGCACAATTCTATCTTGCATATTCTGTTGCTGTTGTCATTTCCAACCACTTTCCTTGATCAAGAGCTTGCATTTGCCAAAATTGCAAGAACCCGACACCCAACTCAGCACCAGCAAGGATTCTGAACGGCGGCCTCCCCGCCAAATCCAACATGTGGGTGAAGCAGCTACTTGACTTGTTGGCGGTTTGGTGTGCGGAGCCTTCCTGCAACTCTGTCAGAGAATTCTTGCAGGATCTAGGTTCTGGGGCCGCACAAGAAACGATGCTGAGTTTCCCCTGACCTTGACTGTAGACCTACAAGCCCTCCCAGCCCGTGAGACTCTCCGCCTCAGCAGAGAGCGCAGCGACTTGCCATAGTTTCGCCAAGGGCCATCGGCCTGCTCAACCAAGTCAACCATGGCTTGGGACTGCCTACTGAGTTCTATCATTCAGGTTCAAGGACACACCTTCTAGGGGGAGTCAGACGCATGTCAGGCCTGCACGTAACGCTTGTGCAGCTCGGCTTGCGAGTGGGCTATTCGCTTGAGGCGTTGCTCGTGAAAAGCTACAGGGTCCTGAGAGCTCACATCTGGTCTGGACCAGTTTGTCCCGAAGAAGCCTTCAGTCCTCGCTGAGGTCTTCCGCCATGCAGAAAGGATCTTCCCCAGACTCGTCTGCATCGTAACAGACATCAAAGGCTTTGGCCTCCTCCAAAATGGCGTCAAGCCTTCGGCCAAGCGGCAGCGGCTCAAACTTGACGCCTTTTATTCATGTACGCAGGACTTTTGCTGCAACTCCGATGAGGGCACAGCTTCCTACGCTGGCCCCGCAAACGGTAAATGCTTTCCATGATGATGAAACGCATCCCTCCCCTCCCCTGCTGTGATGAGCGGCCACTGGTCGAAAACATGTCTATAAATTCGGTCAACAAAACCATACAAGAGCATGCTCGACCCCTCCCCTGCCCCCGAACCCACCTTTAGGTAGTTCCTGGGATGATGGGGCGCCCATGAAACATGGGAACTCTGAAAATCAAGAAATCCAAACCCGGAAATTCAAAAAAACATTGCAGTGCTCAAACATGTTCAGGAATTCCTAAGTTCCGCTACCTTTTCGCAGCCTGCCAAACCACAAACTGACTTTCTTGCTGAGTACTCTGTTTGGTGGGATGAGGCCGCCAAACCCTGTAGTGCTCAAAACTGTACTGCTCCAAAAACAACAGTCTCCAATTATGGGACCAGCCAGTCCACGCTGGCACCAAAATGGTAGAATTCTTGGAATTTTGAGCACTACAGTGCTTGCTGAGGGTCAAGGCCACGAAGCAATGCAATGCTCCAAAAAAGTCTTCTGTCCGTGACCCCGTCCACAGACCATAGACCCCTGAAGTTTGGAGTCTCAGATAGGCTTTGAGCATTTTAGCGAAATGTATTTTGGCTAGCATAACAGAGCAATGAGGCACTTTCTCGTTGCCTCAGAAGCTTCAACTCGTGTGGAGTAGAATATCATCATGTCCTATACTTTAGTCTCATCGACTAGGTAAGTGAACGTAACTTCCAAATGTTCTGTCTTAAATCGATACGTTGTCTGCTGGCCAGGCTCATCTTGGTATTGTAAATTTGAACCTGTGGGCAATCATGAATCGAAATCGTAAAGAGCCTCGAAGGTATGAACACGTAGGTAGAAACACATGTGATGAAACTAGCTTGTGGTACAGCTATGCACAAGAAATGGGATAGGTGTGGAAACCCTCCTTTCGATCTGCTAGGACCTTCGAGGAAAATCTAACAAATACAAACAACGATACCATAATTTCAGTGCAGTTGGCAGGGCTTGGAACATTTAAGATGCTTACTCAAATGAGAACATAGACCAGAGCACTCATACAGAATGAAAAAATATGTGAGCCACTCCATCGGAAATCCTTTCTCTAGCAATGCAATTTTCAAACACATTAATGTTCATGATAATTTTGAAACAGGATAGCCAGCAAACACAGGACAAGGTTGTGGAAATACTCAAGTTTACGAGGGGGCTTTGTTACACCAAAATAGAAACGCCACTGCATCAACCAATGCGCCCCAAAAAATCTGAAAGATATTTGCGGCTGGCATATATGTCCTTACATCATCCTGGGAGTGCTAAACAGATTTCCAGGCAAAATGCTATGGTTTTCGTTTTTCGGCTCTACCGGGGGGTGCATGTCCACATGCAACAAATGATATGATAAGATGAAAAAATACAAAGCTGAAGGTAACACAAGAAAACTCGGAGGGGAGGGGAAGGCCAAATGGAGTGCGAGAGGATATCGCGCACATGGAAGTTCTCATGAGATGAAAAAGGCTTCAAACTTGGGAATGCATGGGTAACTGTGAACATAGTGTCGTGTGTATTGTGGGGTTCAGATTTTCATCAGAAATCTCATAGACTGCGTCTGTTCCAGGTTTAATTGCCAATAATCTTGGCAGGCTCGTATGGGGGTTTCCCAAAATTAGGGGTACCCTTTTGGGGGTCCCCATAATAAGGACTAAGTAGTTTGGGGTCTATATGAGGGTCCCCCCATTTTGGGAAACTCTGGGGAGGCTTCCAAGGGTTTGGAGGGCGTCAAAAAATCATGTTGATGCTTTTTAGCTGCCCCTGAGGCAATCCTGTAACCTGCTCTAACCCCTTATATAACCGTTATACAAAATATACTATAATCTATAAGAATATATCCCCATATTAGGAGTCTCTGCTCTAGACTTACTATGTCCGGGGATCGAGCAAGCTTCTTGTGCAATATGTTCTGCACATGTATATGAGTTGTAGGTAGATCAGCAAACTGTCTTCTAGCTGTCGATCAATTGTAGGCAGAACCAAAATCACGCCACCAAGGTGTACCAAGCTGAAAAAACAACATAGCAACAAAAAAACTGGACCAGCCCTAAGACCAAGAAAAACTGGACGCATAGTGCAGAGACCAGTGAAATTCTCTTAGAATGTTCAAGTATTTTGGTGTTCGTGTCTTTGGTTTTGCTTTTGCGTTCCCATTGGACTATTGGGCAGGAAGTTTTTGTTGCTTCCGTTCTGGCCCTGAATTCCTGGGATCCCACATTGGCCTGTCCGAAAATGGTCTGCAGAAGCTTGGTTTTGCTAAGGTTGCTTGTTTTGATTCAAATAGTTTCAGCAACATCATACTTCTTTTCAAGCCATCCCTGCTTCTGACCTCTCTAGATAAACCAACATACCTTCGTAATTAGAGAATGACATGAACTAGCTATCGTTCCTCCCAATATCTCCTAGCATTCCATTCTCCCATCGCTTTGCTTTACAAGCAGCACAATCAATAAACGTTAAACTGCTGCGGGAATAGTTCGCCTTTTCCCTTTGCCCCATGAATGATGAGTCGTCCGATTCTACAAAAAGCAATAACTTACATAGGTACAATGCCAACCCTAGCGCAAATATCAGTCAATCACCAAATCTTGCCTTTTGTAATCAATTAAACCCTTTGTTCTCTGGACAAAAATACTATAAGAATGCAGGCTTTTCTCCGCAAGAAAGATATAGCAGAAACCCAGCTGACTTAAGACAAGCAAGATGAACCCTTCCTTGCAGGTGCTGGCTCATTGCCCAATGAGAGTATCAGTAATTTCCGCGAAGCTGGCTTGGCACTTGCTGGTACTAACAAGAATCGTACTTCTGTGTTAGCATTGTGTGAGCCATAGTGCTAACAATCCATTAGCAATGGCAACAGTAATGTGCCTATTCCTTACTGATGGTTACAATCAGGAAGAGTCCGTCATAGTAGTAGTAGTAGTAGTAGTAATAGTAGTAGTAGTAGTAGTAATAAAAATAGCAACCGTATTAGCAGTTCTAATTAGACTAACGTCGGCGGCAGTACGTATTGGCAGTAATACTACATTGCTTGTTTCCTTGTAAGATTCGTGATCACAATAAGCATACTAAGGGTAGGCTACAGGGCTTATTGCCGTCAGAAGAACTACAATATTGAGAATGATACTGACACATGAATACTAACAATAACGCTGCCCTGCCGCTTGCCAAGTTCTAGTGGAACAGTCATACTCAGAGTTCTGCTAAGCGGCCTATGGATCAGCTTGTCATATTGAAAGTACAGCTGAATTGGCAATTGCCAGTAATAGCAACTTTGTTTGCAAGCCTGGTATTGGTATTAGTGCCAATCTGAACCGCCAAGTGAAGCAAGAAGCGTGACAGTTCTTCGGAGTACTAACATGAGGCACAGTACGAACCATGCACTAATGATGGTTCCTCTGGCATGCCCTTGCTTATTACAGCTTGTCCTGCAAAACAAAAACCTGGCCAGCCTGCACGCCCTCGCTTAGACATACAGGGATTTCTCAAAATTGGGGGTCCCTATAATAAGGACTAGAGTATTTTGGGGTCTACATTGGCGTCCCCGATGTATCGAAACTACCAATTCTTATGGACAAGAAGCAAATCAAGCCCGGAAATCTAATGAATCTGTACGGACAAGAACCTGGTCAAAAACTGAGAATTCAGGACTCCAGGATTCCATATTCGTTTCAATGAGATTTAATGAGGGATGACGTGGATTTAAATTGTACTTGAAAGAGCTTCCAAGGCAAAAGTTCGACCATTACTTTAAGCAAATACTGGTCATCTTACCATGTTTGGATAAACCGTGTATACAGTGATTGAAACTTGCGTTTTCAGGCATAAGTCACATAACTGCCAACCCCTCTAATGTTTAGTGTCTTTCGCTACGGGGAAATTGAAGAAAATGTTGGCCAAAATTCAGCGACAGTTTTGGGAGTCCCGCAACCTTTGAGCATATCTGCGGAAGGAACGCTTATATGATAATAAAACAGCGCAGCATACTGTATTTAGTGTTTTCTACCTCTCATATAATGTGCACTGCTATAATACAACCGCAGCATATGCAAAACTGGCTAGGCGGGGTTTCGCGGGGACACAAAAATTATTTACTTCGCCCTAAAGCCGTTATTGCACAACAAGTGTAACGTTTCCCT